GCCACACACAAGTCGATGTGCATCCGTTATGATAATGACCAATCTACACAAGGAAAAACCCAGAGACAAAGGCATGGGCATCAGGACTCCATTTCAGAGACTAAGGTATCCCAGCTCACTGGCAGGGAAGAACTATTCAGTGACAATTTTAAACATCACATTTTAGCCATATTTGCATGCTTCAGTTGCTTCTAGAATTTTGAGATATGAAGACAATCGATACAACCTTCGGTGGGGTAGGGATGGGAAAGACCCCTGACCATTAACCTTGTTAGCCTATTTCCACATTTTAAAAAAAGTTCACTAACTCTTGTGAAAGGCCTACTTTAGACATCACATCGTACAGGAGTCAACTCAACATATGAATGTTTAATGCAATCCAAGACATCTCATTACAGCAGGTACCACTTGTCATGGTTACTCTGTCACACACAACTAAAGAAACCTAAACATGTCTTTGGAGGGCCCAACACAAAGAAGTCAACCTTGGTCCTGGATGCTTTCTCTCTTCTTTCACCATCCCAACTCCCATCACCCCTAGTTCCCTTATGCACAGTAGAGAAACATGAAGCCCTCACAACTAAGTACTGTCTCAGTGTGGTTTTCCTGGTCCCTCCTACTTGAGAGAGGTCCAAGAGTTCTGTATTTCAGCCAGCCCAGAATTTCTGCCAGTAGGCATTCCCACAATAAGTCCAGGATTCCAGTATTTGTTTCCCAGAAGTCAGAAATATCATTTGATATTTCCATAGCAGAAAATAACAGCCAAACTTCTAGAATCAAATCCACCTTGATCCTGGACTACATATTCTATTTCATTTCTTACTTTGGTGAGCTAGTACTACTCTCAAGGTACTATAGCTAAAATCATCCCAAGTTAAAAGGCACAGTAGAGGTTCAAGTGCATATGTGACTGAAAAGTATTTCATCAGTAGCAAGATTCACTACTTTGGGATATAACACTACTTTGTCCCTTTCCACAAGTAGTTTTGTCTGCTGGGATTTTCCCAGCTCCTGTGAAAAAGACATAGCCACAATACACACACCTATCTTTATTTCATAAAGAGAATCAGATGAGAACATTACCACCTTAGCTGTGCCAATCAAGTCTGCAAAATACTCTTAATCCAAGCTGAGTTAGGAAGGGGATGGAGCAAAACCCTCTTATTTTTAAGAATGTTATTTCAGCATCATGGTCTGACAAGAGGTTTACCCTTAAGTAGCAAGAAGGAATTCAGAACAAAATCTATCCACCTACAACCCCCATCCAGATATACAGCCCACAGAACTTATAGTTGCACTGTCCCTCCACAAGTAAATGTTCACCAACCCATTCTCTGAGTCTCTGAGTTCAGTTCAAGCAATTGAACTGAAATTGAACAGGCATCTATGTTGCCTGAAGTGCTAGTTCTGGTGATGTTAAAAGGGAATCAGAAAACTCACCCAAAGGCAGGACAGACAAGTTTCCAAATGGACTGTATCTATTTTCCTACCACTTTGCACAAGCACACATAATGCCTAGCACATAAGAAGTGCTCAAATATTTGCTTAATGACCGAAAAACACAAATCACTATACGGCAAAAGTTGGTTTAATAAAAAAATTAGAGTTTGCCTGAATGCCTTCAAACCAGCAGAATTCAAATTAATTTTTTATTTTAATGAGCCTTGACTTAACCCAAATTATTTCTTCTAATAGATTAAGAAAGGCAAATTTCTCAGTACCCCCCCCAAAAAAAGGGAAGAAATGAGGGAAAAGAGGTATAGACTTCAGAACGACTCAGAGACAAGATGTTCTATTTTTTTAAGACAAAGCTTATCCTAACACTAGAAATCCAATTTAAAATTCCCATATTTATTGCCCAAATGTAAAATATCATGGAAGACATGGAGTCAAGGCACAGAGCTCTAAACCTGCCATCTAACACAACTATTTTCAAAACTCCAAGTTCAATGGAAAAGTAAAAAAGCAGCTCTAGGATGAGGAGGGAATACAGCTGATTAGGCCACACAAAGTGAATAAAATGTTTTTGCATAAAGGTACAACTGGGAAGTGAGGACATGAAGGGATTCTTTCTCCTATGAAAAGATACACGATTCCACAGAATACCCAATATTCAGAGCCAAAGCACTGAAGACAGAACATGAAGAGGGAAGAACAAAAAAATAAAATAAAAGGATGTATAAAAATGTACCTCAAAGTTGTAATTTCTAAGCAAATCTTAAGTATCATTGAAGGTTGTATCTTATTATCTTGGAAGAAAAAAAAAAAGGAACATAATGCAAAGAAAAAACTGGTCAGCCATTATTTCAAAGCTCTAAAATGATAGGTGACAAAACAGAAAACTAGCCTTTTTGATATTCCAGGTACCAGTGATAAATTTCACCAAACCAAGCCTCAGGAGAAAGCCCCTCTCTCAAGATCATGAAAGATGTCAGCTTATGTTTAGGTTGCGCTGCTCTCCCAAAGCTCAATTAACAAAAGAGTTAACAAGATACAACATGTCAACAAAGAATGAGGCCAGCCTCCCTTAAAACAGAACATTTAAACCTAATATGAAATTCTCAGAAAGCTTTCAGTTCTTAAAAAGTTTTCTCTTACCGCCTCCCTTAAAGACCCCACATTTGCCACTCAATAAAAAGCCCAGTAAACTAATTTCAATTCTGCAAAGTGAACAGGGTGAAAATTACTCAAGACAAATGCATCTTCAGAACCATCAAAGAAGTCATTTATACCATCAGGAAAGTCACAAAACCAAAACAAACAGCAAACCCATTGTAGAGAAAAACTCAGCTACTGTTCTAACAACACAGAATCTATTTCAGGCTGCATAAAACATAACAAGCAAAATAAATCCAAGGTACAAGCAAAATGCCACTGCCTCCTCTTTTGTTTCGCGTACAATGTAACAAGGGCAGCCTGTCTGGGGCTTTGCTCCTGTTGATACAGTATTGCTTCTTAAACCTCCCTCCTCAAGGTCACAGCCAATTTCAGCTCTGGAATAAAATATAGATAGTGGCAGCGATGGTTTGGGTTATCACTGGCAGAAATGCAGAGTGTAAAAGTTTATGAGCTCATCAGGATTGTTGTACCATTACATCAGAGGCAATTATAAATGGCCAAGAGCAGGAGATGGGGAGCCAATCAGATCACAGATAGGATGTCAACCTAAGACCAACTGTCTCCTGGCTTTGACAGAAGGATTTTACCTCCATAATTCAAATCCCAAACCAAAGCAATCTGCACTTACTACTCCAATCACTCAGCTGTTTACCAGCACTTCCAGGGAGAAGCCCAGGCCACTAGGCCGACGGAGACTAAGGCAGGAGATGGCCCGGGCTGCTCTGGGTGAACCACAGCCGGCCTCTATCCGCCACCAAGCAGGCCCCTGCCCTCCCTCGAGGTCCCCCCGAGCCCGAGGGGCCCCTCCTGCAAAGCACAGATGGGGGAGGCCTAGAGGAAGACAGAGGGGGCAGAGAGGAGCGGCAGGTGAGCAAATAACTGTTCGCTCAACTCCTTAGCTCCTAGTACTGCCTACACCCCTAACCTGAGCCCCCAGAACCCTCACCCCGGACCAGACCCTTCCCCACACACTCTGCCCCGCAGCCCCTTGGAGACCCCCACAGCTCGAAGGGACCAAGGGCAAGGGAGAAGGGGAGCAGACACCTCAGGGAAAGCCCCACACAAAGGCTGAAGGAGGAGAGAAGAAGGCAGACAGGCAGCCATTTTAAGAGAGAAGAACCAGACAATGGCAGCTCCCCAGCAGTGGGGGCCCCGGACTGGGGGTAGCCCACAGCTGTGGCCTGCTCCCCGCAGCCTTCACCCACTCCCAGGACCCCGCTCGTCCCAGACCCCTCCCCACTCAGCTGTGTACCTGCGGGGTCCGGGCGAGCGGCTGACCCCCGCCGCCGCTGCTCCCGGGGCTCATGGGCGCGTGGTGGCTCCTTTGTTGGGCCCCTCCCGAGGCGGCTGCTGCCGCCGCCGCCGCCGCCGCCGCAGCCCCCCAGCACTGCGAGGCCATGTCCGCCGGGCCCTTGCTGGCGCCCCCGTCCTGGGGCCCGCCGCCGTAGTCGCCCCCAGGGTAGCCCTGGTAGCCCCGGGCCGAGCTGGGCGACGTAAGCAGTTGGTTGAGGGTGGGGGTGGCGGTGGGCTGGGGGGTTCCCCCGCCGGCAGCTGAGGGGCCGCCTCCCCCCATGGCCCCGAAGCGCTGTTGAGCGAAGGACGAAGACGACGAGGAGGCGGAGGCGCTGGAGGAGGGAGGCGGCTTTGAGCCGGCAGCCGCCGCGCTGGAGCCGGGAGTGCCACCTCTCGGGGAGCTCAGCGCGTAGGCTTGGGGAGGCGGGGGGTAGGCGCTGCGGTTGGGGTAGTAGGAGTTGTACTGGTGGTTGGGGAAGCCGTGGTCGTGCGAGTTCTGCTGGGGCCCCGCGTAGGGCTCCAGGCCCCCGCCGCCGCCGCCGCTCTGCAGCGCTGCCAGGCCAGGGCTTTGTTGTCCGCCATGTTGTTGGTGGAAGACGGCGGCCGCCGCGGCGGCGACGGCAGACGGGCTCCGGCCGTAGGGTTGCCCGAAGCCGTAGGCTGGGGGCGGCAAGGCGGCCGCGGCTGAGTGAGGAGGCGCCCCCACCCCATCGCTGCTGCCGCCACCGCCGCCGCCGCCGGGCGGCTCCGTGAGGTTATTGTTCAGGGCGGGCCTAGGGCCCGCGTTCCCGTTCGAGTTCTTCAGGTCCGGTTCCGCGCCGGGCCCGCCGCCGCCGGCTCCGCCGCCGCCGCCGCCACCCCCATTGCTCTCGGCCCCGTCCTGCAGCTCCTTTCCCAGCGGCTGCGGCGGCCCCACGGCGGGGCCCTCGCTTTCCTGCCCGGCGGCTGCCTTCATTTCCCCGCGCTCGGCCGCTGCCTCGCCCCCCGCCTCCTCCCGCTGCTGCTGCTCCGCTTTCTTCAGCTCCGAGGGCGGCGGCGGCGGCGGGTTGCCCAGGCTGCTGGCGGCGGCGGGGGCGACCTGCGCGGCCATGATCCCCGCTGTCTCGTCCGCGGAGAGACCCGGCCCTGTCTTCGTCTTCTCCCCCCCTCCCACCCCGCCCCGGGGCCGAGTCCCCCGGGCTGCCCTCCCCACCCGCCCGGGCGGGCCTCGCGGGGCTCCGCTCCTGCGCTGCGCTCGCTCGCTCGCTCCTCTCCCCCCCGCCCCGCCGGCTCAGGCTCCGGGCTGGCGGCGGCGGAGGAGGAGGAGGCGGCGGCGGCCGAGGCGCCGGCGGCTCAGCTGCTCCCGGCTCTGTAGGCTCGGGACCCGGCTCTCCCGGCTCATTCCCCCCAAGCCCTTGCCTGGGAATGAGGGGGGCGGTGGAGGCTCCGCTCCCCAGGGCCTGGCCCCGCTGTGACTCTCCGCTTTCTGCTGCCGGAGAAAGGAGGAGGGAGGGAGGCGAGGGGGAGGGGGCGGGGAGGAGGGAGGGAGCGGGGGGAGGGGGGGACCCGGGACGGGCTGGCTGGAGGGCGCGCGGCAGCAGCCCGGGCGCCGGGAGGCAGAGTCGGAACGCGGTCCGGGCCGGGTGCTCTGCCTCCCCTTCCCGGCCGCGGCGCGGGCTGAGGCTGCTGCGCGGCAGCGGGCAAGCGGGAGGGCGGCCGGATTGAGCGGCAAGAGCGCCCCACTCTCCTCCGAGTCCCCCTCACTCCGACACGAGGCTCAGCACTGCCATTTTACCCAGCGCCGTCGCGGCTGCCTAGCAAACCCGGAACGGAGCGCGGAGCGGGCCCAGACCGTGGAACGGACTCGCTCCCTTCCCCTCACAAAGAAGGAGGGGAGAGAACGAGCCGCGGCGGCGGCGGCAGGCCCTCAGCCGCTTTCGCTGGGCAGCGCCGCCGCCGAAGGCTTCGGGGAAAACCCGGCCCGGAGCTCGCGCCTCTGCGGAGCCTGCGCCGCCTTCCTCCTGGCGTTCCTATCGGTCTCCTCCAGGCCGCACCGAGGGGAGCGGGAAGCGTGAACTTTACTTGCGGCTGCAAAATTGGCCTGAGCCCGAGACCGCGGGCGCCTCGGCCCAGGCCTGACCCCCTGGCAGCGGGCCTGGTCTCTTGGCTGCTACTTAGCACCTCTAGAGCACTTTCCTTCTTCAAAGCCTTTTACAAACCAGCTCTAAAGACCCAGCCCAGTGAGTGATCAGGGCCTTACATTTTATCCCCTTTGTAAACCGAATGGAATGACAGATCATTGTTCAGACTTACCGGTTTTCCCATTCCTCTGCCCTCTTTCGCAGGTCCTTTTGGAGACGTGAGGTCCCTTATCCCCATTTTACAGGATTTAAAGAGAAGAGAGGGGACTACCCCCTCAAAGTCAGAGGGCAGAGGAAGGTGATTTTAACAAATAGTAGTCTCCCAGGCTGACCCTGTCTACTTAGCCTTAAAAAAAAAAAGTGGCTAAGTTGTGCCATATCCAACAATGGGATCGGAATATCAAAATGGGTTTGAGAAAAAAAGCTGTGGAGTTTGGTCATCTCCAGGCTGACTTAAAAATGGTCACCACGGAAACTATTCTGGGGGCATATGACAGCCCCTCTAGCAGGACAACTGCAAGCCCCATCTTTCCTGCTAAATAAGTTTAGCCCACAATGGCCAATAAATAGCCCCATTCTCCAATGGCAGTACCTGTAAACAGACCACAGAAGAGGTTCCTGGGAGTGAAAGAACCTGAGTATTCAAAGAAACCACCGAAGAATGGCCAAAGGGAAGGAAACCATTTTCTCCTTAAAGAGAGAAAAGGGGCAGTCTGACAGGCTACTTAGAAGACACGTAACCCAAATTTGTTTTCTGTTCTCCAGTGTAACAATTCTTCAAAGTTTACCAGTACATTTTAAGAGATGCCAACTGAACTGGAGACATTCATAGAAAACTCCAGGTCTATAAGACCCCACCAAATCCCAGCAGCAGCTTTTTCCTTCGCTAACTTGAAACGCTTTGACATGACAGGCTGCTACAAAAGCCAGAGGGGATTCCAGCTCCACACAGGCCCAAGGCTGCTTTGGGAGAGGTCCAGGCCAATTTAGTCACTAGGCACTACGGCCTTTTTCCTCTCAGATTTTATAAATGCAGACATTATGGCTACAGAACCATTATCTTAGAACTTCCAGATTCTGTGGGCCCCTGCAGTTCTGGCTATGCCACTGGTCACCGAATAATTCCAAAAGCCTGAACTCATTCCTACCCCCAAGAAAACTTAAGAGCATCTTACACTAAATAGGCAAAACCTTCCTGTTAATCTAAGAGTGGTGGTGGCTTTTTTGTTATTGTTTTTTTTTTTNGAACCACTGTCACTGCAGAGTTGTCCAGGGCACACAACTCTGAAGGTGACATGAACTTTCAAACCCAAAATTACTATAAAAGAACCCCTGAACTGGCCAAGAACTTGGCAGATTGTACTGAAGGCCCCACATAACCACAGGAACCACTAAGACCCTGGAACCACTCTCTTTCATGGAATTTTATGGTTACAGTCCAAATTCTCAAAGTCACTGGAATGAAAAAACTGGTCTGGAATGGATGTGTAATTTGGATTCTATAAAGCCCATAGAACTCAGAACAGTGTTATGAGAAAGTAAATTAGTATTTTAACTTTCCCCTTCTTGAACCTAAATTTAGCTTTACAAATCTCTGCCCCTGAAAAGCTGTCCCAGGTTAACCCTGCCCATCTCTGATGCTCCATATTCTTGGATTCATTCACTTGGATTCTCATATACTTAGTATAGTCTACATCCATTTATAAAACCTTGCTTTGCAAGTTTTCCAGATGTATGCACAGAAGCATGTTTTCCCAAGAAAGAGAGATTTCTCTGAAGCTGATACTGACTCTACCTTTTAAGTCCCTTGCTAATACCTCATCAGTATGTTCACAGAGGACTACTTCCACCCCCATTTAAATCTCCAGATCTCTCTGAGCTAGAAATCATGATCTCAGCAACAAGTCTGAAGTTCTAATGCCCTCACCACCACCATACTGGAAAAGGCATGGGCAACCAATGTCAGTTTTTTGTATTTTGCTTTAAAACAAGCTTTGGTAACTTGAACCTAAAAATAATGATCAGGGCCATAATTACATGCATATTCCCTAGTACTATGTTCAGTCTTTTAAAAAGGCACTACCAAGACTGTGGTCTAAAAAGCACTTGTTGTGAAGAAAACTGGTATCAGAACCAGTGGATTTAGTTTAAAAAGGGATTTTGTGAAGGTAAATCTGGTCATCCCAAAAAGCTAACAAAGCAGAGTTCCACAGGCAGACAGCTACAATACTTCTTCCTGCATAAAAAGGGTGTTTCACTGAAGGAACTCAGAGATATTTTTAATCCTAAAATGGCGATCAAAAACAAACACTGGATCTACCCACATAACCCTTTAGGCAGGATTCTGTGAGTCCCCAAACATTTGGACTTTGAACTGACCCAAGAAACTAGGGATATTAATTTACATGTACGGATAATGCACAAAAGGAGTCCAGTAGAAAGTATACAAATAAACACAGCCATTGGAGTGAGCTTATAATCCTGAGAGACACATCAGAACAGGCTAAAGATGATGCTGAAGTTCAGTATCTTTTTTTCTGCTTTTTGGTATTCCAAAAATGCAAACCCAACCCTAGAAACATCTCACTAAACAACAAACCCTTTCTGAAAGAACAAGGCTTTAAAAACTCAAAGTCTCATAAAAGAAGCTTTTGGAGCACACTTACCTCACTACTGAAACTTAGGGCCTTCTTTCCAAACTTCTGGGGTTTTTTTTTCACTCTGAAAATGCTATCATTTTGAACAGGGCTCCACACGTCCTGAACTTAGAATGAAGCCAGGGTCATGGAGGCTTCTGTTCCAAGGCAGCATCTTTTTACTTCAGATCTCTGAGATCATCTCTCATCTCTATGCTCTCTATCCCACAGCACTACACTCTCTCCTATCCCCAAGTCTTTTTCTCCAATGTTATTTTATTCCACCACATGAGAAGAGACTAGCATTATCTTTGCTTGAAAACTGTTTATTAATTTGCCTGTCAAACATTCTATAGAGCCGTTTACATCTTACTACAGAAACCTCCTGGGTACATATTGACAGCTCAGCAAGTATTTACACAAAGCTCTGAAACATTTGGTTCCTTCAGAGAGAAGAAGCCGCTGTGTCAAGCCGAGAGTTATCAAATACCTTTCCCTCTACATTTTCTCCTCCTTTATAAAGGGAAGCTTCCTTCTAGCACATCTCTAATATGCCTAAATTACACTTCTGAACTAAGCCAGAGGGAGGAAGAATGGAAATTCAGATGTACTAGAGAAGAGAAAGAACAGTATTTTCAGGACCACTTGCAAACCATACTATATAGTTTATAAAACAAGGGTTATAAGAAAAAGCAATACAGCTATGAAATTGATCCTGAGATGCTTAGCTTTTCCTGTTCCAGTCTCAGAAACTTTTGCTCCCAGCTCAGCAAAACTTACAGGGCAAGTTTAGGCACTCAGATTACAACCAATTAACTGCCCAAACCAGACCTAGACCTGCCCAAACACCAGAAGAGTCTAGAGAGATTAATGCTACCTCTTCCCACTTTCCTATCCCCAAAAATGAAGCAGAGTGTTAATGTTGAACTTATGAATATCCACTCCTCACTCCACCCCAACCTACCCCTAAAATTCCCTGGAGATTTTGAAGCAATTATTTTTCAAGTCTTGCCTTAATGAAGTCTGCCTAATTTTTCTATTACTGTTTAGTGTTTTAAAACCACCAACCAAGTGGAATGACTAATGACCAACAGATTAGCAGTTTCAGGGCAAAACAGTCTGATAGGGCTTTTTCTATAAAGAGCTATGTACCACCATGGCACCCAACTGTTCATTCAGAGCCTGTGCCTTTAAATCCCCAGGAGAAAACAGCCCCAAGTTCCTCGAGCCCAAGGGAAGAAAGATGGTCTCAAGACCCCTACGGATAAAAGTACAAGAAGATACTGCACTCGTAACAAGCCAGGTATGGAGGCAGACAGATGTGTAACAGAGAGAGGGAGGTCATGCAGTTCACCAACTTCACTTTACTGATGAAAAGAAAATGAAACAGAGAAGGCAAATGACTTGCCCAAAGTCACACAGCTCAATCCCGAGCTACACGTAGAGCCAAAGCCTCCTCTTCCTTGAGTCCTGAGCTCTTTACCCCTCACCACTATGCCACACACAAGTCGATGTGCATCCGTTATGATAATGACCAATCTACACAAGGAAAAACCCAGAGACAAAGGCATGGGCATCAGGACTCCATTTCAGAGACTAAGGTATCCCAGCTCACTGGCAGGGAAGAACTATTCAGTGACAATTTTAAACATCACATTTTAGCCATATTTGCATGCTTCAGTTGCTTCTAGAATTTTGAGATATGAAGACAATCGATACAACCTTCGGTGGGGTAGGGATGGGAAAGACCCCTGACCATTAACCTTGTTAGCCTATTTCCACATTTTAAAAAAAGTTCACTAACTCTTGTGAAAGGCCTACTTTAGACATCACATCGTACAGGAGTCAACTCAACATATGAATGTTTAATGCAATCCAAGACATCTCATTACAGCAGGTACCACTTGTCATGGTTACTCTGTCACACACAACTAAAGAAACCTAAACATGTCTTTGGAGGGCCCAACACAAAGAAGTCAACCTTGGTCCTGGATGCTTTCTCTCTTCTTTCACCATCCCAACTCCCATCACCCCTAGTTCCCTTATGCACAGTAGAGAAACATGAAGCCCTCACAACTAAGTACTGTCTCAGTGTGGTTTTCCTGGTCCCTCCTACTTGAGAGAGGTCCAAGAGTTCTGTATTTCAGCCAGCCCAGAATTTCTGCCAGTAGGCATTCCCACAATAAGTCCAGGATTCCAGTATTTGTTTCCCAGAAGTCAGAAATATCATTTGATATTTCCATAGCAGAAAATAACAGCCAAACTTCTAGAATCAAATCCACCTTGATCCTGGACTAC